CACTGAAAAAAGATATAGCTGTTTTTCTGCAAGAACAACATCAAGCTACAGGCACCCCCACTAAAGTCCGTACAGCAGACTTGGGTAAATCCCATACTCAGGATAAGGAAGAGGAAAAAGAGCAAAGACCCAGGGAAACAATTAAAGAGCCTGCTAAAAAGTGTCAGCCCACTCGGAAAAGCAGTCCTTCTCCACATAAGGCATCAAGAGAAGGAGGCATTAATAGAGGAATTAATAGAGAAGTTTCATTGGAAGACAGTAAAGCATCTCCCCTACAATTACAGTTGACGCCATCACTGACTATTGGGGGCGAATCATTGGCCCCCACGGAGAGGGCTCGCAACTTGGGCGTCCTCCTGGACTCACGGCTGTCTTTAGAAGAGCACTTGACGGCCGTGACCGGGAGGATTTTTCATCAGGTTCGCCTGATTCGCCAGTTGCGTCCCTTTCTGGATCGGGACTCTTTACGCACGGTCACTCATGCCCTTGTCACCTCCCGCCTGGACTATTGCAACGCTCTCTACATGGGGCTCCCCTTGAGGAGCACCCGGAGGCTCCAACTGGCGCAGAGTGCGGCCGCGCGGGTGGTAATGGGAGCGACATGGCGTTCCCATGTAACACCTCTCCTGCGCGAGCTGCACTGGCTCCCGGTGGTCTTCCGGGTGCGCTTCAAGGTTTTGGTTACCACCTTTAAAGCGCTCCATGGCTTAGGACCCGGGTACTTGCGGGACCGCCTACTACCACCAATAGCCTCCCACCGGCCGGTACGCTCCCATAGAGAGGGGCTCCTCCGGGTGCCGTCAGCCAAACAATGCCGACTGGCGGCCCCCAGGGGGAGAGCCTTCTCTGTGGGGGCACCTACTATCTGGAACGAGCTCCCCCCAGAGATACGGAGGATCCCGGATCTGCGCACCTTCCGCCGCGCCTTAAAGACTTTACTATTTCACCAGGCCGGCCTGGCCTAATTTTCCCCCTCTTTTATAAAAGATTTTTAAAATTTTAAATATTTTTTAGTATTTATATATTCAATTTTAAATTGGTTTTAAAAGTTTGGGGTTTTAAATTTGTCGGGGCCAAAATTATTTAATTTGATTTTATTCTATTTTTTAAATTTTGTATTGTATGTGTTTTTATTGTTTGGCTGTGCCCCGCCCTGAGTCCTTCGGGAGTAGGGCGGTATAGAAATCTAATAAATAAATAAATAAATAAATAAATAAATCACATCGCTCACTACAAACACATCAGGTTGTGCTTAGAATCCATATGAACAGAATTAATCATGGACGCTGGATTACCAAGAGTGCTATACTAAATTCCCTAAGCCAGCTTCTTCACTCTCACTGGGGGCAGATTGTTCTCCGTGCTGTGGAGTGGCTTCCTGAGGACCTAAATTGGAAGAGGATACTTCTATCTTTCAAACAGCTGACTATACCATAATGCTATTCAAGATGAAGGCGCATCTAGCCTCCTTTCAAATCTTTCCCGTCAGAGTTTTCTGTGAGGAAAGGGTTAAACCCTTAATTGCTAACATGTGAGCTCCCAAAATTGCTGTCTCTTCTGCATTCTCAACCTTGGAAAAGAGAGAGGAAGAAAGTGGGAGTAAGCCAGCCTTGTCCAGCGAAGATGTACTTAACAGCACAGAAACTGGCCTCATTAATGCTTTTGGCGCTCTCCCAGGGAAAGAACAAGATAACATTCTATTCAAACTAGAAAATTTAAAGAAATCCTTATTGGACATAATCGACACAGCTGAACCGCTTATTGATCTGGTTTCCCCTATAATTGAGCCTCTTACTTCTCCCCCAGGGGGCAAGGATTTGCATGAATATGAGAGCATGGAAAACAGAAGCCAAGACACACAAGGGCCATTAGAGGCCCCAGTAGAGAAGGAGATGTTAGCATCCTTATGTGATTATCCTATGATATCTTTAGCACCACATCAAGAAATTGAGAGAGGACCTGCGTCAGTGTCATCAGCTCAAAGCCGAATGGAGCACGACTGAATAACCCCCTGCTCTACACCTAGAGAAGAAGCATAGGAATGGCAAGCCTTGTTAGTTGGTGCTAAATCCTCTTACCCTGAACAATTTTACCAGGAGTTGACACAGAATTTAGATGGGGCACCCCTTCTTTTAGAGAAGGCCAATTTCATGCGTGACGACATCTCAAGCCATTGCAACAACTATACAGCTTCCCTTCGTATAAATCAAATTTCCTGATGAGCTGCAAAAGAGGATCCCCTCTCCATCATAACTTGGAATATAGCGGGTTGGACTGTTCCATCAAAAGACCAACTTCTTTTTGACTATATATCACAATTTGACATTCTCTTCTTACAAGAAACCTGGGCCTCCACAGAGATACAATTAGATGGTTATTGGGTTAACTCTATCCCAGCTGTTCCAAGTAAGCTGAGGGGGAGAGCTAAAGGGGGTATTGTAACATTAGTGAATACATCCTTGCAATTTAAATGTGTATCACTGCCATCTTTGCAGCCATGGGTTTTGACTACGTTACTGTCGAGTGTCAGAAATTCCCTCGACACATGATCCTGAGGACTGTGACTTACTGTGACTTACCTGAACATGAGCACCTGTTTAAAGAACAACAAGCCAGTCAAGCCAGAAGAACAAAGACACGGTGAAGGGGGGTGTTGTAGCGTTTAGCAGGGCACGGTGATATCAGGTGGTGGACAGTATAGGGAACCGGGGAAGGGGGTCAATAAACATAATGCTGCTAGTTTAAGCAAAAACCACTCAATATGAGGAACGGCGAGATCCGGAAGTAGATGGCGATCCGCGGCAAATCCGAATGAATAGATAGCGCGATTACTTTAAATTCATAATTGAGCAAGGGCGGGACGCTTGGAAGGCGTTCTATAAAACCGGATAAGCGGAGGAATCGGCCGTCTCCGACTTTGTTTTTCATCAAAGAACTTCAGCGCTTACTGTATGACCACCGTGTACGCTACGATTAAACCGGATAGCCTCACTTTTGATCGTGTGTGTGTGGTGTTTGTCCGGCAAAGCACAGGTGGTTCCAGAGGAAGCTGACACTTACTCTTATTTAAATAGGTGGAGATTTTGCTTTTTAATATCTACATTCCCCACTCAATAAAAATAAGATTTGGGATGGCATAGAAGATTTTATCCTGGGCTGCTTAGATAAATACCCTACAGCAGCAATAATTATTGGGGGGGGGACTTAAATGCTAGGATGGGCCCAAATGATCAAGCATTATTTAATCAATTTAAGATTCATTATGATGAGAATGTACCAGGAGAACCCCTGCATCCCAGACAATTTAAAGACACTAAGGCAAATCGGGCAGGACTGTGTGTAAAACAGATGACTGAATGCTTGGACCTTTGTATCCTGAATGGTTCCACTTGGGGTGACTACCCAGAAAACTATACTTATCGGGGAGCAGGAAGAAAATCCACAGTTGATTACTGGATAATATCATACGACCTCCTGAAGTTCTTGCAGAAGATGGAGGTAGACCCGTGTCTGGAAAGCAATCACGATTCACTTATCCTTACTCTTACATTACACCAGAAATTACTAAGGGTTGACTCAATCTACCTACCCAAATTAGAGAGCCAAAATACCCAGATAAAAATTAAATGGACCGAGAAAAATGCAAAGGAAGTTACTAAATGGATGTTAGCTTCAGAAACCATAGAATTACATACATCTCTACTAAGAAATAAGTTTGAAGGATCGTACTTAGAGGAGTTTGAAACTTTAATTTCAAATTTGAAATTGGTTCTCACTAACAGAATACTAGCTCACTCCAAAAAGCCGGTTTTAAAGAACAAAAAATTGTTTGATAGAGATTGCATGCAATTAAAAAGGATATATAATAAGGAGTACAGAAGAAGTAAAAATGACCCTTCTGAGGATCACACTCACTTCTTAAAACAATTGAAGGCCCTCCTAAAAGAAAAGAAAAGTGCGGCTTTGAAAGAGTCTTGGCAGAGATTAATTACATCAGTCAGGACAAAAAATACATCCCTTTTTTGGTACATCACCAGAGGATTGGGGAAATCCCCCCTACCGCCAACTAATTAGGTACCGACTCAGGCCTGGGAAGAATATTTTAGAGAATTATATACAGACCCCGACTATGTAACTAAGGAGAGCCAAATTAGTTCGGACCAAACTGCTTACTGGCCCCCTGTTACACCAGAAGAGATATCTCAGTTGATTGGAGCCCTCAAGGCTAATAAGGCACCTGGTGCTGAAAATGTCCTCCCAGACATCAGCCTGGCTGATCATTCCGCTGCTTCTTGTTCTTCAGTGCAGGAAATATAAGCCTCAGGTTATTTTATAACCTTCTCACTAGTTCTTGTTCTTTTCCATTGCTTTCCCAGAAATTTGCACACATGATGCCAGGCCAAAAATCTAAGAATGACATGTGGTGATGTTCCCAGGCTGAGTTATTTATTGTTTCCACACCTATACACAGAACCTTGTCAGGTTGAGCATTCTACTACTGCATCTACCACATATTATGAAGGGACTGCCTTCACCCTTTTTCTCTCACTCAACAGCTTCTTTACAGGCCATTGGAGGGGGGGGAGGAAGTTCTGACGAGCTGAGAATATGGCAGCCCAGCAGATCAGCAAGAAATAACCATATAGAGGAGCAACCAGCCATTGCAGTAGGGAGATATGCCAGGCACTATAGCTAATTGGAGTTGGGGATGTCACTAGATTGCAATGAAGCATGGGGAACCAACTGTTTAAGATGCTTAGGACAAAACAGAACTTTCAAAGCTGAGCTTCAAAGAACAGATGAGGAGTGCATTTAAGACGGTTGGCAATGAACAGAGGGTATTGCTGTCTTTTTCTGCAGTCAGAAAATGGTGGCTGGCAGGTATTGGTAATAAGGAAAGCAGGAAGTGTATACCTGGCCTTGGACCATGGCCTAATTTTATTAACTATTCCTCTACACTGGCTGGATCATAATTGGCAGGATAATGTAGCCTCCCTTACCTTTGCTTGTTTCCTTGGTCTCCCTCACTGTTTGGGAGGGGCCTTCTTGGTTCTTCCAATGAGACATGGAGCGCAAGTACTTCCTCACACTGAGCTTACTGCTTCTCTCTTGGGCCTTGTTCATCCTGCCTGGCAGAGAGAAAGCCCTCTGGAAGATAGATCTCTTGGTGGCCGCTCTGCTGTCTTGGGAAACCAATGATGGGAGATCGTTGTGTCCAGGCTCAGGGACTTCACTCTCAGGCTGGCTTTGTACTCGCTTCCATTTTTGTATCTTGTGCTTGCATCTGCTGCTTTCTGATCCATAGTGAATAGGTCCCAATTCTGGCACTTTCTCCCCAATTGGCAATACTGTCTGCCATAGGTAGGCCTTAAGTAAAGTTGAACCCTCTTTTTCAGGCTGAGCTGCCATCTGTCAAATAGAAAAAAAAGAAGGAAAGAAGAGCCATTTCATAAAAGCAACAGCACTAGAGCCTCCATTGCCAAGCATACCATAGTCAAGGTAGCCCTACATTCATACTTCTAAACCAAAATTATCTCTTCTGTCTTGGCCATTTCTTCAAGGACACATAGTCTGGATCCCCCACCCCCACCCCAAGCAGTCAGAAGCAAACTGATACCAATCTGTGTAGACAATGGAAAGATTCAGTTACTTTCAACTTCAAGCCCTTAGAAGAATGGGATTTCTGTCAATGAATAGTCCTCGCTAAGGGCATGTGAGCACAGTGCCACTCTACCCTTCTCACTCTGAGGTGCAGGTTTGCTACTGCTCACTTTTTGCAAAGAAGACTTTTGTGCTGCCATGGCAGGAAATAAAAATACACTGGCAGCTTCACCGCATCCTGCGTTGCTGTTTGCAGACTCAGACACTTCCTGTGATGAAAGAGCTTGCACTGAAGAACTGCCAATTATGCCTTGCAGGTCAGTCTTGCAGACCCTTGATGTGAGACAGCCTTGGAGTCCACCTACTTGTGATCATCCCAAGAAAACTCAGCCTGCCCGTGTTGGCAATCCTGTGGAGTCCATGAACTAACTCTAAAAATGATGGGCAAAGTATGGCACGCTTGCATCGTGATCAACTGGCTCTTCTCCAACCCATAGAACCTGTCTGAACATGTCCCTTGCACACATGGTCCAACCTCCTTAAAAGGTGCAAGCTGCTCAGAAAGGATGTTGCTGAGGGGAATGCTGAGGAGAGAGAAATTGTGGGTTGCAACATTTCATTTCCTGCTCTTCTGACTAAGGAAGTGATGGAAGTGATAGCTCATTTCACATTTCTAGGGTGTGTGTGTGTGTGTGTGTGTGCGCGCGTGCGCTGCAGAGTAATCCAGCCTTGGTAGAGCTAAATTTTAGAGGAGAAAGAGAATGAAAGCATGTTTTCTCTGGAAGGGGTTCTTTTGAACAAAGAAAAAGATTGGGATTAAGTATGCCTGCAGAGCAGATTTATCTAGAGCATCTTTATGTAGGGATTCTTAGACTGATCTTGTGCTGCTTGATAAATCAGGGAGTCACTGGACCTTGCTGAATAGAGAGGAATGGAAAGTATCTTGCAGCCCCAGCAGTAGATTATGTGCAAAAATGAATATAGACTCTAATAACAAAAGATAGACAAGAGGCATGACAGCAATGAAGCTAAGAATTTCCCCCTTGGGCTCATGCTTAACCCCACCACTCCCTTTGTACCCACATGCTCTTATTTCCCAACTCCACCATCACCGCCACCACTACCACCATTGCCATGCCCTGTGTAATTATCAGAAGGAGTATGGAAATATTCTTTGTTTTTAGTATTTCAGTGCTTAGCTTTTACCCAGGACCCAGATTCATCTCCACAACCCCCTTTCCCTAATTACCTTGGCTTCTAGCTGCCCTTCGTCTTCAACCTAGCCTTCCTTCATCATCTGTCTGACTGACTGGCTTCCTCTCCTGCTCTCTCAGCTCTGCAAATCCCCATGTGATCTTCTGTGACATGATAACAATCTCACTTCATCCTGTTTGAATTACCCTGAGGCTGCCTTGTGCTGTGTGGGTGGCTGAAGCTTGGTTGCACTTAATCCAGACCGCTCACCTAGTTGAGCTCTGCTGCCACCCAAAAGCAGATGACACATTTCCCATCCATCCTCCCTTCCATGACAATTCCCTTAATAGCCCCATTCAGAGTAGATTTACTGTGCCAAAATTAGTTGGGCCAATCTTGCCATATTGCATTTAAGAATTCCACACAAGGGTTTGGCCTGGTCCTGGATCAGCTCTATAGCTGGGTCCCATCCTGTCTTCTTTAGGGCAGTTCAGCAGTTGTGCAAGAAGAACTCCCTGAGGCTGGTTTTCAAAGGGAATTGGGGGTGGTGTCATTTCTCCATCAAAAGGAATTGTAACCTCACCCTCCTTGCAAGTTTTCAGCTTCAGCTACTTTGACAGAGAATGGAAGGGGAAGACTGGTTTGACAGCCTCACATAATTTCATCTGTCATTCAAACAACCCAGAAAGACCAAAATCTTCTCTTCTACAGAGGGCCAGGACAACATGGCAATCCATTCAGATGTCTTATTTCTTTTCTTTTATTTCTCTTTTGTATATGATTATTGAAGGGGAGAATTTTTGTGTTTGTGAGATCAATTACCTCTTTTATTCTCAGCATTTTGAAGGTAGCAGAAGTGAAGATGATAGCAGGTCACTTTCAAATCATGTATGAGTACCTTGGGGGCAAAAGGTATCAAGAGCAGGAGATTCATAAACTGGCCTCAGTCAATAATCCTATCAGTGGTGTTGCTAGGAAGGGCTTCTGGGATAATGCCTAAGGTCCCACAATCCCTGAAGCCCAGAGAACCATGGGAGATGTCAGCAATAGAAAACAGCCTTGCAAGAGGTGGGTGCTTATTCACACCATAGTATCCTTTCTTATTTCCAAATAACATTTTATGTGTTCTATGGCGAGGAAGCAACCAACTGGGATTTTATTATTTTGACTTTAAAACTCTTCAACAATAACTACTACAACAAAAATATGCTCATTCCTAAAATCAAAGGTCCCAAGCATCCTGGTAACAGAAGCAAATTCCTTTTAATTGCTGAACTGGTATACTTGAAATAAGCTTAAAATTTAAAAAAATCTGAGCAAAGAGTTAATAAGACATGTTGTGCTGGTTGCTCTACATGAGGGAGCGAGGAGGGAAAAATATAAAATAGAATAGAATCAGCTGGAAGGGACCTTGGAAATATTCTAGTCCAACCCACTGCTCAAACAGGAGAACCTATACCATTTCAGATAAGTGACTGTCTAGACCAGAGCAGTCAAACTCGCGGCCCACAGGCTGGATGCATCACGCGCTGGCCATGCCCATGCCTGGTTTAGCAAAGGGGAAAAAAGTCCCAATATGTTATGTGACGCCACTGTGACAATGCGAGTTTGACACCCCTGGTCTAGACTCTTCTTAAAAACATCCAGTAATGGAGTGCCCACGATTTCTGCAGGCAAGCCGTTCCACTGGTAAATTGTCCTCACCAGTGGTGAGATTCAAATAATTTAACAACTGGTTCTCTGCTCTAATGACCAGCCAGGTAGGCGTGGCTGGGTGGTCATGTGACTGGGTGGGCGTGACCGGGGTGAAATGCTACCAGTTTGGGCCAGTTCGCCTGAACCGGTAGTAAAAAATTGCTACTGGTTCACTGAACCGGTAGTAAAAAATGTAAAAAAAAATTTCCAACGATCAGCTGAGCGATGCGTGATCGTTGGAACTTTTTTTTTAAAAAAATTTTTAGGCATTTTTTTACTACCTATTCACCCATGCCAGTAGTAAAAATATGCTTTTAAAAAGTAAAAAAAAGATTCCGATGATCGTACAGCACATCTGTGATCATCGGAGCCTTTTAAAAAACTTTTTAAAAGCACTTTTTACTACGTATTCTCCCGAGCTGGTAGTAAAAAAATGCTTTTAAAAGGTAAAAAAAAGGTTCCCATGTGCGCCACAGCTGATCACCCCCCCCGTGCTGTTCTACTTACCTTCCTAAGCCTCCTTTTGGCACACACTGTGCATGCGCACACACAGCTTGCATTTGGTGCGCATGGTACATATGCGGGCACAGTTCATGTTTGGTGCCCACTGCACATGTGTGCGCAGTGCACGTTTAGCGCATGGCACACATGTGCAGCCAGTGAACCAGTAGTAAACCAGTTCAGATTTCACCACTGGGCGTGACCAACTCATCACTCACATCGAGGGCACCTCGCCTTGCCTGGCCTCTCCTCACCACACTCAGTCCTGCCTCACCCCTCCCCTCCCAGCCATTCCTTGTCACGCATGGCCTCGCCTCGCATGGCCCCTCGCCTTGCCTCCTAGCCATTCACCATCTCGCCTTCTGGCTGATCAAAGAAGCTAATCACTGTTAGTATGCTCAGAACAAGTGCTACGTACTTTATGTACTTTATGCCATATTAGATCATTGCTTTTTTGGCTCCTAAGAATCTCCTTCATATTCAATTCTTGGGAGTATCAAATGTGGGTTTTCTTTCCTAGCCTGCAATTTAATATCCTCAAGTTGAGGCAGAAGGGAGGAAGAGAAGAAGCAGGGGTTAAAGTTGGAAACAATTACAGTGTCCTCTCATTCAAAACTGTCCCAAAGATAAATGAAAATATATTAACCAGACTAGTTCTGAAGAGGCTTGCCACAATTTAATCAGCTAATCTATTTTAAACAAATAACAATCTCAGCAAGATATTCATTTTTATAGTGGCTACTCTTCCTGTCAATGACAGGTGCAGGTTTTTCCACTTCTCCAAATCTACTTTAATTTGTTGCATCAGCTTACAATAATTATCTTCTTTGATGGTTGCACATCTTGCTGTTAGTTGTACTTGAAATCTTAATTTCTCCAGAGGGGCTCAAATAGTGGAAAAGAGAGAGAGTCAGAGGGAGAGGGAGAGGGGAGAAGGGAGAGGAGAGAGGGGGGGAAGGGAGAGAGAGGAGAGCTGAGATTCTCCTCGACCTCACAGAGCACCCCTCTTTGATTTTTTAAAAGTTTTTTTATTTTTATTTTCAATACACAAATTACATTTTTTTGGAACAGAGCCCTGATCCGGTCATCAATTTATACAGTTTTTTCCCCCATCTTTAACAAAATTTTATATATTCTATTTTGCCATAACACTTATTTCTTAATCTTAAACCAGCTATCTCAACTAATACCATCTTTTAAAAAATTACTCAAATTTACTTAATCAAAACATTTACTCTTCTATTAACCCCTCTTAAATCTTAATTCAATTAATACCTCATAGTACATTTCACAATTCTTACCCTAAATCCTCACTTTTACAATACTTAATCTTAAATCATCTATTTCCCCTATTACCATCTTATAAAAAATTTACTCTTATTTATTTAATCAAAACAATTACTCTTCTATTAACCCACTTTAAATCTCAAATCAATTAATAACTCATAATACATTTCACAATTCTTAACCTAAATCCTCACAATTAACAATACAAATCAAACATATTTATATTTCAAGATCTTATTTCCCTTTCTAAAACTTCCCCACATTTATTATTACTTCATAAAATGGTCATTAAATCTTTATTTCCTTATTGCTTCACCAAATTTAGATCCTATCTCTAATCCCAAAAATATAGCAATTTAACATTGAAACATAGTTCTTAATTCAAATAAAACTACATTACAATTTCCAATTATTTCCCACAATTCTGTCTCTTTAACCTTATCATTTATATAAAAACCAGTTTAAGTAATTCTTATTCATAATTCATAGTCCTATATTATTTCAATCTTCTTTTCTTTTTTGCTTAGACAGATATATTTATCAAAAATATTAAAAATATTAAAATATTATTGAAATTATTCAAATTATTGCAATTCTTATAGATATTTGAACAATATCTCAGTTTTTATAGTCATCAATTATTCTCAAGTAGTACCATGTAACATCTTAATAAACATTGATTCATTATGTCCATTGATATATTGTCTTTTAACATAGTCTATTTCTCATATAGCTTCCATCCATATTTCAATTTTAAGTCTCTGTAACATATTCTTCTCATATTTCTGTACCATTATTAATCTCAATATAGTTATTTTGTAAATCAAAGTCCTGGACTTTTCTATCTTACCCCATATTCCCCAATTCTTTCACTGTTAATCCCAGTGTAATCATCTTATTGTAATCACAATATCGTCTCTAAAAACCTCCTTTTTATTATTACTATCTACCTTACTTGTTCATATTTAATCACATTGTCTTTGTCTTCTTTATTTCCAGCTGTTATGTCTTGTTTCTTCATTTTCTTGTCTGTTTATGTATACTTCATTTCAGCTTCAATGTCCTCCATGTATCATTTTAGTTATTTTTCTTATTTCCATTCCAAGTCAAATACATCAATTTGTTCCTTCTCTAATTCCTGTGCCATTTTATTCTTTTTAAATTAATGTTATCCCAATTATAAAAATTCCATTGTAGTTCTCCTTTTCTTTTCCCCCCCCAAAGTCAAGCCGCCTGCAGACAAAGAAATCATCCTCCATAAATTCTCATGGTTGTTATCTGTAAAGTTCATGATTTTCCAAAACAAAAACCAAGTTGCAATGTTCCTTTTTACTCCAGAAGGTGTCTCTCTGCAATCCACAATTTCCAATTGTTTAACAAGTATCGATTTTGTTTCATTTACATGGCAGTCTTACAGGCTTCTTATTTTCTTTTTGGTTTTAAAAGTATCAAATCTTTTTTAAAGTCCAGTCCAAATTTAAACTCTCTCTAATCCTTTGACCATGTCTCAATGTTTAACGTTTCCAATTAGTTTTATTCAAAAGTCAATTTTCTATCGGGTCTTTGTCTCTTTAAAATTACGTTTCAAAATCTTCTTTGCCCCCATGCTCCTTAGACACTATTTTATCTCTAGGGGTCTTGTAGTTAAAAGATGTTTCCCTTGATGTTATTACAAGCCTGGGTTGGCTGTCACTCACCTGGCTTTGAAAAACCTGTCACTCACCTGGTGGGATGGGGGGAAGGGGTGGGGGGGTGGGGGGAGGGAAAAAGGGTGAGGGGAATATTGAGGGAAAAAAATTTTTTGTAAAATTTTGTAAAACTTTTCAATTAAAAAAAAAGAAAAAAGAAAAACTCCGTTCCATTCCACTTTCCTCCTGC